CTTGAAGTCTCGGCCGGCCGGGTCGGTGAGCAACGCTGTGGGAAATGAGTGCAGTCAAAGCATGCGTGAGATGCACGGGCGTGTTAGCTTTAGCGCCGGAGCTAATGCCCGGCGTCATGGCCCGCCAAGCAGCTGGAATGTACAGGAACTCAAATAAACAGCACAGCGCAACTTCTCTTCTGTCCACTCATCTGTTATCTCTCCGTTGTTCTTCCTTTATCTCTTGCCCTCCCTTTTTACATTCAGGGACCATCTCTTTCTTTCTATCCCCTGCAGGCAGATCTTTTTTGGGCCAGAAACAAAAGACTGCCGTGTTTGTAGTCGGGGTGAAGCCCTCACAGAGCAGGTCTGATGTAAGAAAAGTCTCGAGGAGATCAGCTCACATCCACTGTACCGTACGCGGAGGAATTTAGGGATTACATATTTAACCAGAATCCAAGGTGATTGTACCTGACCGTGTAACAAACGGCAACAAGTTGCTATTTTCAGTGTCATTACAGTTATTTGGATATTTCGGAGGGACATAAAACAGTGATGTCACTTGATGGCAGCGTGGTTCTTGAATAAACGTGATCCATAACAAGTGGGTTTTAGAAGTCGACTCTCGCTGTTTATTTTTAATTCACCCTCTTCGCATGTCTCTTCCTGCCTGTCACTGATTGGCGTTGCCAGCAGAACGCCGGGCCCTTAAAAGAGGAAAGTAGGTAAACAGGCTCTCCGTGAACATGAAGCTCAGGAAAGTGGGTTAAGAGAGCGAACGTATTGCCCAACACTGAAGAGCTGCCTGCCAGATTTAACGCTGGCCGACAGTTGTAAACACAACTCTTATCGGGTGATTCAGGAGTCTGGAGCCTGCCAGAGCAGTCGCCCGCTGTTCACACAGGTTTCTGTCAAAAAAGGGCCAACTGAGCACACAGCTTTTGTTGATAGCACCGCTGGTCTGAGGACACCGGGGGCGCATTTCACAAATGTTCGGTGCTGATAGGCTCTCGGTGCTTACGTTTAACTCGAGGGGAAAAAAAAGAAAGGTTTTAAAAGCTGCAGTAGTGCAGGATGTTTACAACACTGGTTTGCGCTGAGAATTCCCTCCCCGAAAGCGCCTCGCACACGCTAAATATACTCCTCTAAAAGCCCGCTCGTAGGCCGCCACCTTCCGCTTCGTGCACACACACACACACACACACACACACAAACACACAGTGAGCTATTGTGTCTGAGAGAGCTCAGGCATCTGGAGAGCAGAAACCCTCTCGGGTGACCTCTGACCTCCGGTGGCGGAGAGGCGTGGAGTGACATGCGAGCCTCCTGCAGACTCTCAGGTGAGTCGGAGGGCTGTCAGCGGACTTCTTAAGGGCTGTGGCACCGCGACATTGAGTCATTCACAGTGTCTCTCGCATTTCACAGCAGCGAAAGGTCGACCCCGAGTGAACCTTTCACTCACGTCTCATCTCATGACACAGATTCTTTTTTTTGGGGGGGGGGTCCTCTCTGCGTCGTTATCCTGGTGTTTATTTGACTTTAAATTTTTCGCTAGTTGCCACCCATTATTCCCGCTGCGTGTTTCCCCCTCGTCGGCTGGTGTTCAGGTGGGTGTGTGGGCGCAGCTGCAGTGCTCAAGGTAAACAAATGGCCAACAGAAGCTCCCCCTCTCCCCTTTGCCGCTGGTAAAACGCAAAAGCCTCCCGGCGAACTTCGTGTTGCCGTGAGTCGCCATGGCGACGCCGCTCACAAAGGACTCCAGCTGGTTCTCTATGCGTGCGTCTGTGTGTGTGACAGAGAGATAGAGGGAGACGGACAAATGGACCGAGAGGGAACAGACGGGGACAGGCAGCAGCTCTCTGATTTACCCTCTTTCCTCCTCCTCCTCCTCCTCCTCTTCCTCGTCAGTGTTATTCAGCTCCTCTTCCCTGCTCTCCGCCACCCAAACACAGTGCAGCTGGGCTCAGCTGTCAATGTTCCCCCATACCGACCGCCCCCTTTCCGGGCCTTTGTATTTGTTTGGACGGTGGTGGATTTGCCCTTGGCCCCCGCGCGGGGGAGCCCGTTCCTGTTAGGCTTTACCTCCCAAACCCGACCGTCTGCCCTTTGATGTGGCCTATCGCACAGATATACAGATAGGAGATTACAAGGCATCCGCGCCGCCTTCAATCGCTCCGGTATCACGGAGGCGAAAAGGGAAAAGAAAAAAAGGAAACATCTGATCCGCCACACGAGTGGGACGGTGATCAGCGGAGCCGGAAAGAGGCGGCAAGCAGATCTGTTTTTGTTCTGAATGAAGCCGCTCGCTTTGTCTCAGGAGAGGAATGAGGCATTCTTTGATATTATGAAGCCCAGAGGTGGGTGGTGGGGGGGGGGGGGAGTCCTCCGTCAAAAAGAACTGCTATTCACACCAACTTGTCGGCGTGGGACTTTTGAAGCGTTTGTCAAAAGGGGGATTTGGCAAAGAGCCGCTAGAGTTTTGTCATTCGCAAAGTCTTCTCTTTGGAATGACAATGCTCGCGGCGGGCAGCGCCTACCTCCGAGAGGGAAGAGCTGAAATTCCACGTTTCTATTGAGTCAGGAAGTTTGTTCTCATTTTACAAGATGTATGAATGATGTCTTTCTTTTTCCCCCTGATCAAAAGCTCCACTAACCTGATCTTGTGGATTGACAGAAAACCTTTTTTTTGTTTTGTTTTTTCTGTGCTCATCAGTGCGTATTTGTGTTTTTCCACATTCATTCTTGAGGGTCTGGTTGAATCCTGCGTCACGTTCCTACTTCACTTTGTCCTTGACTGTCTGCGCGCGTGGGAGGTCTGCGCTGCTCTAATGCCTTCATGGCTGCAAGAGGATCAAACTGCAGTCTTATCATTTCTGTGGCAACTGGAAACTTGGCTGCTGTTTTATCAGGACAGTTATTTTGGCCTTCTTCGCCCTTACTATTGACACACAGGCAGGAATTACATTTAAATTGTTTTATTTTCTAACAAAAGGAGCTGGACTCCATTTGTTTTGCCAAATGTTTGTTGCTAAACCTTTACAAGCGCTTACATCCGAGTCACACTGTTGACAACGGCTCCCGACGAATGGGGAGAGGTGGAAGCGTTGAACCGGCCCGCGTCGATGTTCATTTCTGTGTCCAACGCGTGCGTGTCTGCAGGCCGGTGTGCGCGTACGTTTCTGTGTGGGCATGTCATGCTACCCCCCCCGCCGCCGCCGGCCCCCCACACACACACTCTGTTTACTTAACCTGTCTTGACACCCAAAACCCCGTGTCATTCTCGGCGGGTCTGACTCTCGCGGTGGCAGCGAGGGTGGGGACGTGGCGTGTTGTCTCCTGTTTCATGCGGCGCTTTATTGAGCGGATGAAAACCCTTCTGTTCTCCAACCGTTCTCTGGGTCTGGCAGCAGCACACACACGCACACACACACACACACACACACACACACAAGTGTGACTTTTAGATGACTTCAGGGGATAGAAGCTCTGAAAGGGGCTGACATTCTATCCTTTGAACCTCCACGCCTGATGGGGGCGGGACCTCGCCCCGTCTCCCTCTGTGCGAGTGCATGTGTGTGTTCAGGGTTTCTTGTTTTTTTGTTGTTGTTGTTTTTGTTCTCGTGTGGGTCTGTCCTCGTTGACCTTTCTGACGCCTTGGATGTCGGTCCAAATCCCTCTGGCGTGCGGCGAAAAGATGAGACCGTGCTGCATTAGGCGGTTCCTGAACACACGGCGTCTCTCAAAACGCACAACATTCAGCCGGAGAGCGAACGGCAGCGAGTCATCTTATTGTCTTTCTTGTGGTTTGCAACCACGCCATCAAAGGACCCCATTTTAAGCCACTGTGATCTCATCTCAGCGCCGCGTTCAGCCCGTCTGAGGGCTTTCCAGCTTGTCAAAACCTGACAGAAATCTCGCCTGAGATCATCCCAATCACTGCTGGCGAGGCCGGACGGGGGCCTGGCGTAGAGCGGCGGATGACTCCTGACGAACCGAGAGGATGAAGTCAGCCCTCTGCTCACCCCGAATGCTTCCCCTCCGTGTCTGTCAGTGAGACGGCAAGACTCCCTGAAATCATCACCCCGCTCTAATAGTGTAAGACGTGGCCGCTGGCGCTGGGTGGGGTTGGAGACTGTTGTCTGAGCCGCACGCGGATCAACGCTCTCTCCGCGGTAGGATGTTCGTCCTCTGTAGGGAGTGAAAAGCCGCCGTCCTTGTTTCACCGATGGGCAGAGAGAGAGAGAGAGAGAGAGAGAGACACCCAGTTGTGATGATAAACTCAATCCATGGAAGGAGATTCCAAGGGAGGTGGCTGTTTTTGTCCTTGGCTTTGTTGTTGTCCGTTGGCATGTTTCTCCACCTGAGTCAGTGTGTGAGACGCTCCATTTCTGTGCAGAACCTTTTCCTGTAACTTGAGAGGTGGAGTGTAACTGAGCAGCACCATCATGCTTTTTAATATCTTTCTGCTCGGATCTAATGCAATCCTTTGGTGGGTGGTTTGGTTGACTTAGCTAATGTAATTTATGAGTTAACTCCTGCTTAATCAGGAATGAGACGTAATTTATCTGCAATCATGCGTGCAAACAACTGCAAGGAAAAGTCTCACTTCATCGGATTTCTAATTGTTCTGTATGTGGACAGTAAGTGTACAGAAGGCGTAACCATGTAGATCAGTAGGTCAAGTGACGGACATACTGATCCTATTACTCGACGAGGCTCCGATTTGTTAAAGTCGCCCCTGATCTACTGTCCATTTTGACTCTGACACATGGACCTGATACCTAAACTGTTAACCCAAAGACCCATGTGATATTCCTATGACATCATTTGGGTTCATTTTTCAGAATGTAGGCCGCTTCCTGCAGACCCGCAGACAAAAATATACGCCGGCTCTATTCTGCTTCTCCCTCTCTTGTAGTCCGTGTGAGGGGTGAACTGACCGTCTTGTGGATAATAATTGTAGTTTAAACTTGTGTTTTATTTAACGGTTCATCTTTCGTCTTCCTGTCTCCTCCCTGCAGTGTCATCATGCATCACCACCTACAAGAAAACGCCGCCCCCGGTCCCGCCGCGGACCACCCCGTCCAAACCCTTCATATCCATCACGGCGCAGAGCAGCACCGAGTCCGCTCAGGACGCCTACATGGACGGGGGCTCCGGCCCGCGGACCGGCATCAGCTCCCAGCCGGGCCTGTCCAACTCCACGGAGAGCATCGACAGCATGAAGGCCCTGACCGCCGCGATAGAGGCGGCCAACGCTCAGGTGCACGGCCCGGCCAGCCAGCACGTGACCAACAGCACCATCACCATCACCGCCACCGCCGTCGCGCACGTCCCCGCCGACAGCAAGGCGCAGAGGGAGGCGCTCCGCAAGTGCCTCTCCATCGGGATCCAGGTCTGTGGGCCGCGACCGTTTGGGTCCCGAGGAAAGAGTCTTGCTTTTGTGGTTTGACACTATCTGTCCCCCCCCACCCTTCCCCCATCTCCTCCTCTTAGGTGGACCCGGAGGAAGGGGGGCCGACGGAGGAGCAGTCTAAATTCCAGTCGATAGGAATTCAGGTTGAGGATGAGCGATGGTGAGTGAAGAGAGGAGGTTGTTAAAAGTGCAACTGGGGCATAATGGGAGGGATGAGACACAGATAGCGAGAGCAGCAAAAGGACCTGTGGAGACGGGGAGAAGGTTCTTAGTGTGCTGCAAAGCGTTTGCCCCTCCCCTGAGCCCCCCCACCCCGCCTGGCTTTCCTACAGCAGCTGTCCCCAGTTCAGGGGAGCTTGGCGTCAGAGCCCCCTCAGCCAGGGGCCCAAAAGTGACAGCTGGGCCAGAGGATGTTGTGCGGGGAGCCGAGGAAGGTGGAGGAGAGGGGGTGGGGGGGGTTGAGTTGACAGCCATCTGTTGCTCCAGTCATTGTGATTCAGGCTACTTTTGAGGGTGTGTGTGTGTGTTTTGCACATGTGTGGGAGGGAGGGAGGGAGGGAGGGAGGGGGGGGGGGGGGGGGGGGAGTTTTATTGGGTTTGTTCACGTCTGAGAGCCCTGGTGCAGTTTGCTACATTCTCTCGTTCTCTAGCATGTTCCCAACCTGAGGAGAAGGGGGCTGTTTCATTAGCTCATATTGGACCTCGGGCTTATCGAGGCGTCTGGCGTGGGGTGGGGGGGGGGGGGACGACGACACGCAGGCATTTATTCAGTTCCTTTGTCTGCTTTCGTTTAAGCTGTCAAAACAGTGACCTTTTGTTTGGGCCGAGTGGAGGTGACAAACTCGGCCACCTCACCGGTTTCCGTGCTCTGGGGATCCAGAGACGCATCACCTTGATTCAGAGGTCACAGCGAGTCCGCACGCTGACGCGGCGTCAGGGAATGCGAGGGGCTTTCTGAAAGGGGAGGTCTCAGCCGAGTGACCGAGCCCTGAGTTCCCAGAGTGGCCAAGCCAAATATTAACTCGCCCAGACACCTCTGGGCTCGGATAGTGGCAGCACTGCAGCTCGTGCGTTCCCCTGGTTAATGTTTGGCGCAGGTAGTGGGGTGTTTTTGTTGGTGCATGTTTTAATCGTTTTGCGTGTGTCGGTCCGTACCTGGGAGGTCCGGGCACGCTGCCCCCTACGTTAGATTCCCAGACAGCGAGAGGGCCCAGCCCACCTTATTTGTGTCTGCGTCTGTTTGTGTGCTTTTAGTTGTGTTCCAAGAGACTTTGCAAGCAGCGATCGCAGGTCACTACCTCACCTCACTGTTTGAACTGGGATTAAGTGAGGGAGAGAGCTTTTAAAGAGATAAAGACAACCAACAACAAGCTTATCTTTACAAAGACTTCTTTATATTCTGAAATGTTGAGAGATTCACATGAATCTATTTATGTATCTTATTTCCCAGTCAAGTTTTTAAACTGCTGTCTGATCACAAACTGTGATATACAAATGCGATGGAATTTGTTGACTCAATCGACGGATCTGGATTTGTTTTTATGGCCTTGCAAGTTCAGGGTCTGAGATGCCTTTGCATTCACAGGGGAAGTGTGGCTTTGCTTATGATCCCGGGACCAAACCACATGCGCAACCATCTTGAAAAGTTGACAGAAGGGACATTTAGACCTCCCTGTCTTTTATTTTTTCGTCACTGGATGTTTGTCATTAGTGGCACAAGACAAACAGAAACGGGAGCCGTCCGATGTTGAATTTAAAAGAAATGTGTTGTCTGTCATCCAGCGTGTCTCTCTCAGCTTTTTCCAGCACTTCTATATCCAAATAAAACATCAGGCGGTTTTTGTTTATAGAAGCTCCAGTATTTCCTCGTGTTGGTGGTATCGGCTTTCTGTTCTGTGCAGATGAGAGGAAAATGAAATACGGTTTAAAATAAAAAAAAAACCTAGAGGTTACGAGGCCCCCTGGAAAGCGGCAGCATGAGGAACGCGAGCCGTGATTTACAGCTTTCCGTCATGTTCGCCGCATGAATTCAATGAGAACATGGACTTTAATGTGTGCTTTCATATTCATCCACCTCTGTCCTCCTTCGCATTGGCGTCCCTCTCCTAAATGCACTCCCTTGTTCCTCGGCTGTCTGGTGATACGTCTGTCTCTGTGTCTGGGCCGTGTTTGGCCTCGCCCGTCCCTGCAGGAAGTTGTTAGCAGGCTGATAGAAAGCAGGCTGAGGTCATTAGAACTGAACACCTGCTCGCAGGAGTTACTCTTTAACTGCTCTTCACACAAACTCACACTCACGGGCTGCTCGCGTGCACACGCAAAGTACACACACACACACGGACACGCAGGCTTTGATCTCGGCCGAAGTCACTCCCTTGTTCTGGCTCTCTCTCTCTCTCTCTCTCTCTCTCTTTTTTCTTGTTTTTTGTTCACGGAAGAAGGGAGATGAATGAGAAAAAGGGGGAGGTTAGAGATGAATGGGTTGCTTCGAGGAGGAGTGTGCGTCCGGAGACGGGCCGAGGCAGACATGATGGAGCTGCGATCATTTGTGTGTAGTGCTGAGGCTCGTGTGTGTGTGTGTGTGTGTGTGTGTGTGTGTGTGTGTGTGTGTGTGTGTGTGTGTGAAACAGGACTGTGGGCATGTTTGGATCAATGGATCCTTTTTTCTGGAGTCGCAGAAGTTGTTACTTCTTATTAGTTTCCTGTTTATTGACAGCAAACTAGTTAAATGGTAAACATTATGAAGTGTGTTCTCTTCTCTACTTATATTCGCTGTTCGTTTGTGTCACCTGAGCTTTAATAAGAGAGTTTGAGTCGTAATTTTGGTGTTCTGTTCATTACTGAGATATAATTTACCATAATCTTGTTGTGTGTGTGTTGATTTAATCTTTGTACGTGTGTGTGTGTGTGTGTTGTTGCATGTGCTGTGGAGGCACTAAGCCTCTGAGCACGGCATGGCGCACACAGCTGGAGGGAGGCTTCCCAGGTGTGTGTTGCTTGTGTATCCGCACCACAGCGGTGCTTGTCGTACAACAGGCGACTGGATACTTTGGTTGCTTCTGAATGAGCCAGGTGACAAAACAAACCCACGCGCACTACAAAAGATATTCATCGCTATCAGTGATGACGTTTTTATTTTTCATACTTGGATTGCGTCCAAGAACTGTGTGTGAACAGCTTATCATGAGCACTTCTTAAAAGGGACGCTAATGTGTTAATGCTTTACGCTGTCTGTGCAGTCGATCAAATCAAACGTTTGAAGCGGGTCTCTGCTTCCCTTCGCTAGTTACCGCAGGATGACGCGCTCCAACAGCGTGACCACGGCGGTGCAGGCCGACCTCGACGACCCCGCAGACGCCCCGCGGCCGCCCCCGCGTCACTGCGCCACCATGCCACGCCAGCTCTCTCGCGACGCTTCCTCCTCCACCGTCAGCATCCAGGGCTCGGGGAACCACTACCACGCCTGTGCCCCCGACGACTTTGGAGAGGCGGGGTTCGACCCTTCAATCCTGCCCCCTCCGGACCCCTGGATGGACAGCGTGGCGGAGCCGGACTCAGGGGCCCCGGAGGCCGTCGGCCGATCGGTGTGCCCCCGCGACGGCCGCTGGTTCCTCAAGTTGCTGCGGGCCGAGACGGAGCGGATGGAGGGCTGGTGCCGACAGATGGAGCAGGACGAGGTGGAGAACGAGCTGCCCGATGAGAGTGAGTCGATGAGGCGGGTATCAGATCAGTACCCCTCCTCTGATTTGGGCTGATGTTCGTGGCGTTAGAGGCACAATGGCGGCTCGGTCCCGACAGACGCGCCGCGCGTACTGACGCAGCCACACATCTGTCCTTTTTAGCGAGCTGCATAATGAGCTCGCACACACACGCAGCCCAGGGGTTTCTCCCCCCCCACTCTCCTTCAGGCAACTATTATTTGATCTTGAAGTAACACAAATACGCGCACTGCCGAGCATGTCTGCGCCCACGTCTAAATATGCATGTATACACTTACCTGCACGTACCGGGCCAAAAGAAGCAGCCTCAGGCGGCGGGCGCCGTGTTTATATCTGACCGCGCTGCACAGCTGATTTCACGTCTCACCGAAAATGTCATTGTTTATGCTGCTCCTGTGCTGTTATGGTTCCAGGCAAGACATTCTCTCAGGGAGCCTGTCTCAAGGTTGTGTTTTCCCAGATCCCACGCTACCATGAACACACACACACACACACACACACACACATGCTGAAGGAAAAAGGATTTTGTCTCTGGATTGCAGATTCATTACTCCTCCTCTCAGTTTCTGGTCCTTTTTCTTCCTCCCGTACACTAATGTGTGCACTGACAGTTTCTCTCCACGGGGACATGTAAGTCAATAGGACGCACATCGGTGTCAGGTTATGCAGTACGGTCTTGTTTATCTCATATCAGTCAGCTAAACGGGCACCGTGAGCTAAAGTTACTATGATAATACATTCTTTCTGTACTATTTGCTTGGTTGTCTGGCTTTGAAACAGGATATTAACGAAAGGACGTATTATGTGCTGTAAGAATAGCATTCTGAATTGGGGAGTATAGGATTGCTATTTATGTATTTCTTTTGGATTTTAAATTTCAATGCATGTAAGTAATTATTTCCCTCCTAAATGCTTTTTGTGTCTGAGACGAACGGATAACGTTCTAGCGTATCCTTTTCTGCTGAATCCCAAATGCACCCACCCCGCTGGTGCTGCAACATGCCTGCAGTATGCGGTACTGTGAGTAATTGCATTGTGTGTTGGTGTCTGTGTGCGTCCTCGCATCCATGCATGTGTGTCTGTGTCTCCTGCAGTCCTGGGGAAGATCCGCAGTGCAGTGGGGAGTGCCCAGCTGCTGATGTCCCAGAAGTTCCAGCAGTTCCGGGAGCTGTGTGAGGAGAATCTGGTATGTGTCACCTCAGCCTCTGCATGCTTCCCCAGCCCTCCCCCCACAACACTGACATCATCCTGCACAAATCATCCCGGGAGGACGGACCACAGCTCATTTACTATGCAGCTGGTGTAGACCCTCGCTGTCGTTCACATACAAAGAAACTGGCTGTGCGAACGCTACCGTTTGTCTGCGGTGAAGATGACAACAGCTTTTTGTCCAAATGTTTGAATTATCTGTAACGAAGCATTGTAACAATGGCATGAATATATATTATGAGCTTTAATATGTCTATCTTTATATTGTTTATTTAAACACATTAAAATGTCAAAACAATTCCCCTCTCAATATGCATTTCAGTTTCTTGAAATTCGAAAGCATATACAGATTATGTGTTTGTACCGTTTGTGCCTGTACAAACATTTTTGTTTTCATTGTGTTTCATCTGTGTGTATCAGAACCCAAATGCACACCCGCGGCCCGTCTCCCAGGACCTGGCCGGTTTCTGGGACATGCTCCAGCTGTCTATCGAGAACATTAGCCTAAAGTTCGATGAACTTCACCAGCTCAAAGCCAACAACTGGAAACCTCTGACTCCCCCGGAAATCCAGGTGCAGACACACGATGCCAAAATCCGATCCATCTAATCTCAGTTTTGTTTTTTGGAATGATCCACTAACCTGCATGTTATCGGCTGTTCATTGCTGCATACTTTGCGTTGTACGCGCTGATTATTCACGGCTAAGCTTTGCTGCAGCATGCAGATGTGTGCGTTGCCTGCCTGACGTCACCACTTGTGTTTGTGTTTGTTGTCGACAGTGAGCTGCTTTTGAGAAGCTACACTACCTGCCATGCACCGTTGGGGCCTGTCCGTCTCCAATGGTCACTTTTACCTCAGTCAACGGCCACCGCCGCGCTCTCTTACACCACCTCACACCCACCCTCCCCAACAAATGGCTGCCACTGTGAACCATTGCCTCATTCAAAGCTGCATGCACATACTGCCGACCAAAAGCTGCACTGCTCTTTCTAACCCTTACGCAAGTTGGCTGCAGCCGTGTTGCTCCTTACTGTGTTTAACTGCAGCTTTTCGGGCATGAGGGCTCAATGCTCCTGTCGTTTAAGACGTTGTCATTCCCGTCCAGGAGAGAAGGATGCCCCCTCCCGTGCCAAAGAAGCCCCCGAAGGGCCACCACCCTCCCCTGGCGAGGGACCGCTCGCTGGAAAGCTCCGAGCGCCAGCGCCTAGAGGCTCGCAAGCGCCTGCTAGCTGCCAAACGTGCCGCGTCGGTTCGGCAGAGCTCTGCCACCGAGAGCGCAGACAGTATCGAGATCTACATCCCAGAGGCTCAGACCAGACTATGAGAGACACCGATGTACCCCCCCACACACACACACACACACGCGCCCGACACTGTTCCATACACACTAAAGCACTGAATGGTAAGGCTAGGGTGCTAACATGAGCGTGTCACATTGTTTGCCGACTTTCCAGCATCTCGGTGGGATTAGTCGCAATGGAAGAAGAACAAGAAATGTACATTTACAGCATTTATTTATTCATTTATTTATCTATTGACCCCGCCCCCTCCTTAATTTCCTTCTCCCAGCTTTGATGTAGCAGCCCCTCCTCACTTACAAAGATGTATCTTATCCCTTTTTCTAAGTGGCCTAATGTTACAAAGCAAGCCAGCTAGCACAGCAATGACGCTTCACATTGTGTTTAAAGTGCAGAAAATCCAAGGTAGACGGGGGAGGAGCACGCATGTTCACGTGGAGTGTGTGTGTATGTTGAGACATGCACACACATACAACTTATGATGTGTTTGATCAAATGTGTCAAATCAAAGGGAGAGACCAGATGAACTCATATTTCACATGTATTATTTATGGTTGTTTAGTTTTGATATGATCAGTTTTGATATATTTGATGAGGCCAAACTTTATAAAAGAAAAAACGATGGCCAAAAGACCAGAGAAGACAGCGATGTGTGTGTGTGTGTGTCGGTTAGCGGCGCAACTCGCCCGCTGTCTGAATATGGGTCTTTCCGGCAGTGAGAGGCCGATCCCCGTAATGAAGGTCAGGTTTCGCTCCTCCAGGTGAGGCAACGTGGCCATCGAGCCAGAAGCAGATCCTGTGCTTCTGCAAAGACTGCAATTCACTGAAAGAATCACTGTTTGAAATGCCACAAAGCTAATCTGTGTGTGAGTGAGAGAACGTGTGTGTGTGTGTGTGTGTGTGTGTGTGTGTTTGTGATTCAGATGTTCATTTCAAAAGTGCTTCCTATTTTTCTAGGTCAAATGGGTCCTAGTTGTAATTGAAGATTAAGGTAGCAGTATCAACCAACTGTAAACAAACCACCCATCTTGTCTCATCTTAAAGTGAGCCACCACGTTTGTATAAAGACATTGTACAACAGTATAATCACATGACACGCATGCGGACACCAGGTAACTGAAACTTTTGTTTTTTTTAAACGGGTTTTGAATCCGTTCTCAAGTTGCATTCACACTCTTCAGTGTTACAAAATACTGACATTTGGTACAATACTGGTAGTTGTACTGTATTTTTACGTCATTTTTAGACGAGAGGTTTATTGACAGTATTGAGACAAAAGGACTGAAATGGGACGGTTTTCTCCTCACTGTGTGTGCACTATCTCTGCCTCCAAATGAAGCAAATATTTAATGGTCAAACAAAAAAAGACCCAATTTATAATATTTTGTATCCATCTTTAATTTATTAATTAGGAGAACAATGACTCTTTATGGACATTGTGATTATAATGATGCACTTACAACAAGGCCCTTATACTGTGTTTATTTTTTATTTATGTTGATTCTTGACAGGCACCTTTTTTGTCTTTTTCTGTTTCAGTGATCAGCCTTAATTTCTAATATGATAGTCGAGCACAACAGCAGTCTCAGGGGAAAAGAAGTGTGTGTGTGTGTGTGTGACTGAGAGTGTGACTGACTTTGTGTGACTGTATGTGGCTTTGTCTCTCTCACTGTATATAAAACCCCGGTCACCAGGATGGGCCATGATGGTAAAACAGGGGATTAGTATCTTTGGAATGATGCTCCTATTGAACATCTCCGCCCTCATTACTTCAATGTAACAAGGTGTTTCTGTCAGCTGCTTGAATGTGCAGACAATCCAGAACCAGTTTACCATCAAATACTTGTTTTAATAACAGAATATCGGGACAACGGCGTGTAGTTTGATTATTTGTATTGATCTGACAACGTTTTGTGCCATTGGACAACTATAGCTATGGATATATTCCTGCTATTTGTGCCAGTTAAACGTAGTATTTCCTTTAGTTGGTCAATGGGAAGTTCAAAGAGGATGCATAAAAGTAATAATAGTTCAGACTTGTTGCCATTTCATGTAGATGACGGTTATTTCAGTATTTTTTTGCTTTGGAACTTGTATTTGAATTGAAACGTGTGTCAAATGATTGACTACCTATTTATGTTTATGATATTAACATATCAATATAATGCTCCTGGTATAGCAGGGATATAGAAACCAGAATGTTGAATTATGGTTCATTGCTAAACTCTAAAGTCACACGCAATTCTGCAGCTTGTGATGTAGTTATATTCAGAGAAAAACATTCACATCATTTTGTACATAGATGAATGTTTCCCTGTGTAAAATGTAAACACATGCACATCAACTAACCTAATAAGCAAGTATACATTTTGTAATTAATGTTATTACACTGTTGATGTTATGGCACGTGTATGAGCTCTTATCAGCATTAAAAAAAATATATATATATATATATCATTGCCATCACTTTGTCGTGTTCATTTCTTTTGCTGTCTCTACATGTGTTTTCAATTGAAATATAATTAAACAGATTACAAGGCCAGCATGGTGTGTTTTTTAGGGCATTCCCCTTCCGCAGGGGCGGGCCCCATAATTAGACAGCACTTTTGGCCTTGGCTTAGCCCTGACGCTCCTGTGCACGCAGCTTCTGGTAATTTGTCATTCATGCATCAGTCACGCTGATGGGAGGCATGCTGACCTCAGTCGCCAGAGTTCAGGAGAGAGGAGTGGGGGGGCGCAAGAGGGGTTTGCGGAAATGGGTGTCGTCTTTGTATGAAACCTGGCCCAGGGTCAGCCTGCCCCCTCGGAGGGCCCACCATGGTGGGCTGCAACTGCCCACTGGGGGCCTGGAGGTCTTTTTAAACCCCTTGTTAGTGATTACAAGTTTGGAACCGACTTCCAGAACAAGAGAAAAACTCAAGAGGCATTCTGAAAATTTGATGACATATTTTGTCTAAGATTCAACCACATATTAAGAATTTGCTGGGGTCTTTTAACATTAAAAAAACCCCAAAAGGATGTCCTTTCTTTCAGGAGTGGTAAGGACAACAAATCCTATTGAGGCCAATAGAGAAGCTTTAGCAACACCAGGAGGGAACAGCTGTCCCTTATAGGCTGGAGCGAGGCAGCCTGCTCCCGCTGTAAGCTGACTTACATGGACTCTATTGAGATGCAGGCACGCATAAAGCCCCTCTGGCAAGAAACTGTTGACGTCTGCCATTTGCGCGTGTTAATTTATGCAGGATTATGCTAATTGGGGAGAGCTGTTAAAACCTTCTCACACACGCAGGAATGTGTCTGAAAGCCTACCAGGCGGCCCGTGGAAGGACATGAACGCTTTACTGTTTCTGCGCTTTATTTACGGAGCATACAGACTTAAAACGTCCTGCGTACCCCTAAGGGATGAATCCGTAAGCTCCACAAAGTTCAGCAGGATTTACGAGAACACGACCCGTATGAATGATCTAAGCGATGGTGGAGGCTGGGTGGGAGGGAGGGACACACACACACCATATCAAAGATCAAATCAGAGATGTAGAAAAACAAAACTTTATTGTAATCCCATGTGACCCCTATTCGCCACAAACATTGCACAGTATGAAGAGAAATCACATCATTGGGCATCGCGTCACATTAACTATACACATGGTCCTATTATACATGAATATGCGTTTTTGGTGATTTCAAAATGACTGTCTTAGGTTGTAAAACAGCAAATGCAGAAAAGACATCTGTAGTGTTTCATTTTCCAGTCCACTGGCCGTCGTTTTTTTTCGCTGAGTGATGGGTCGAAGGCTCCGACTAAGAACCCGCTACATTGGTCATATGAAATATCCCGTGGTGGGGAAAAAAAGAAAAAAAAAACATTATTTTTTTCTCCTTTTAAAATAGCTAAAAGTAAATTACAAAATCAAAACTACACTTATACTTATGAAAACATTTACTACAGTAGTGAATAAGTTTGTCATAGATGCTGAGAGCAAAGTATGTTTAAGACACTGAGATGACCTTCCTCTGCCTTTAGTGTGCAAACAAACATGGCAGACGAATCGTGAGCTGACCTGTGAATGTGTGAAGGGGTAAACGTGCGTGATGGAGAGCTGATTCCAGCTCGTTCCCCGCTCTCTGAAACGATATATGCGGTATGACGGAAAGACATAAGACAGGCAGCATTTCTCGAAAAAACATTTTTGGTCCCTGTGTGCAAATAAGATACACATGTAGATACACACGCATGTATGTGAAATGGATAGACAACTTACAGCCAAGGCACCTCGATACAGTCTTTTTTGTTCAATAAAAAAAAAAAAAAAACGTCCTCATCAATTTGATTGGTATACCAAAAATAGAAACGATCAGGCTTTTCCTGTGGATTTGTTCGAGTCACTGAACTCCGAGGAGTTCCGCCGCCGAGACACAAAGTCAGTCCCTAATCCCTCTTCGACTTCTCCGTCCGTCGCTTTTTAGGACACCAGCTGTTTGGCCTGCAGCTCCATCTCTGCGGCCCGCTTGAGGGCCACGTCCACCAGGAGCTGGAAGCCGCTGAAGTCTTGCGTGAGGTCTGGGGGGGTGGGGGGAGGGGTGTTGAAGAGCCCGCTGCGGGGGCTCAGGTTACCCTCCATGCCGCCGAGGGTGGTGGTGGTGGTGGTGGTGGTGGTGTGGAGCGGCTTGCCGCCCCGCCCTTCCTCCTGGCACCTGAGCAGCGCCTGCACCTGCGACAGCTCGGCGGCCCCGTCGCAGTTCATTCCGGGCGCGCAGGGGTGGGAGACGGTCGGGCTTCCCTGCGTCGCCGCGGTGACAGTGGTGTGACAGATGACGGAGGGGCGGGTGGGCACGGGGCCCGGGGAGGGCGGCGAGGCCGGAGACGGGGACTCGGCCTTCCTCCTCGGCACGGCGGGCTCGAAGCTGGACGGGTGGAGGGCGCGCTTGTCGTAGCGCTCCTCGGCGCCGCCCGCCGGGCTGCCGTGCTTCGGGGACTGGGAGCTGTCGGAGAAGCTGTCCCCCGCCTTGCTACCTTTCCTGGATATGGTGAACTGGTTGGGGTCTTTGCCATCTTTTCGCAGCATCTCCGGGAGAAGTCGCCGCCGGGCGTTAATGAACCAGTTGCACACCTGCAGAGGACGACAACAAACGGAAATGGCATTGATCTCCCGTTACACTTATCGCCCAGTGTGGATTGCACCAGTTTTTGGTAGAGAAATGCACTTCTTCACGCCATATTCTGTAGATTTAACACAATTAGCATTTTGAGGAAAGCCAAAAAAATAATAAAAAACAGACCAAAGATTACAATAACATGCCAAACATTAACTTTCAACAAAAATAAAGGTTTGTAATTCTTAATCCTGTGTTCAGAGTCTTCAATAAAGCGTAATCTCCTGTCTCCTCTTCCCCTCAGCTCTCCAGGCCAGTTGTGACTGGCTCGCAGAGGCTTGCCGTTCTAAAACCATGTAAATGACTCCGCATTGTTCCCGGACAGCTGGGATGGAAAGGGGCTGGAGGGAGGGAAATTCCTGTCCGAGCGCCTCAGCCGAGCCAACGGCACACAGGGAGTGAGTTTACTCACGTCGCCTCGCACTCTAATGTTGCAACATCACGCTGGTTTGCATGACCTTCGATTCCCTGTAGATGTGTCATGTTTTGTTTGTCATCTAGACAGGAAATGATTCAAGTCAAGCCGACACTTGCTTCCTCCCGACTTGCACTCACACCGATCTGTTTACGCTCTGAGGGCTCGGCGGCGGGGGGGGGGGAGGAAAGTTTAGATAAGCCCGTCTTCTCGGCCCGTACCTGTAGTGTGGAGAGCTGAGTCTGCTTGGACAGGAGGGCCTTCTCCTGCTCGGACGGGTAAGCGTTGTATCGGTGCTCGTACAGCCAGTCCCTCAGGATCTGAACCGACTCCTTGGGCAGATTCCCCCGCCGCTTCCTCTTCCCGTTGCTCCCCGAGCTGGACGACAGGTCCAGAGGGGCGTCCACGCTGTCCTCGTCGTCCGTCTCGCTCCCCGACAGCATCGTCATACCTGCACGAGCGGCGGGACGAGAGAGAGAGAGAGAGAGAGAGAGAGAGAGAGAGCGCGTGAGCGAACCAGACAAAAGAATGCGCGTCCTCCATCCGCCAAACACAAGCTGCCTGGGAGGCAGCTGATGTGTCAGAAGCAAGCTGTCAAGTTCAGCCATGTGATTCATATAGGGAGCGAGGGAGGGCGCGAGGAGTAGGAGGCGGAGGGAGGGAGCGAGGAGGGGGGGGGGGGGGGGGGGACGTCACAAAGGCTGGTCTGATGCTGTGTCAGTTTAAAAAGCCTGCGTCGACAAACACAGGCCAGGTCTTTTTTTTTTTCTTTTTAGAGAAACCGATCCGGGAGCACAACTTGGATAAGTTGACCACAAGAAACAATCACAGCACAATGGGGGATTTTGTTTGGAAGAAAGGCAGCAGTGTTTTTGTAAAGATAACAAAGTGGCTTTCTAACTGAAATTGGCAAAGTCAATCATGATCAAACAGGAAGTGGGCCTCTGATTTGCATCGAATGGGGGGTGTAATATAACTGCTCATTCACTGCTGAGACATTATTTTATCTCAAACGTGTCGAATCATTTAAAAAAGTCCGAGTGGAAATAAGTGCAGACTGGTGCCGTTTGCACGTGCGGCCCAGACTCCATTGAGGCTCCATTGAGAAAGAACGAGTCGGAGGGCTCTTAATCCAGCGGCCCGAGAGCGGTCTGCTGGGAGGCGAAGCGGTGCGAAAAGGCAGCAAGAAAGTTCCCGAGCGGCGCACAGGATGAGGTAATTACGTAGGCTGGGAGAGAGGGAGAGAGGGGGGGAGGGGAGACCTGTTGCAAATCAGCGTCTCCAGACTAAACAAAAGAATCCGGGGCTGCGTGCTTCTTTGTGTGCGATTCAAAGAAAGAAAAAAAGTTTCTTCCAGTTTCGCCATAAACTCAACTCCCTCCGAAATGTCACAGTTTAACAGCGCGGCTACGTATATTAAAAAAAAAAAGACACAAAGGGAACATGTTTTGTAGGTTGAAGTAACTTAAGTAAGAGCTTTCCCGTTGTGTGTGCGCGAGCGTGCGTGTGCGCGCGCGTTGCACCACGAGGTCCGCGAATGCGACAGCAACTTCCCACAATGAGGTCAGGATGATTATCAGCCTCCGTTTGGATTTAAACACTATTTCAAACGGCGCGAACGGTGATTCCGTTCGTCGCGGGGGGGGCAGGGGGGGTAAGGAACAAAGATGCCAAGTACCGACACGTATAGTTCAAATGCAACAACACTCACGACTCCTCGACTCACAACAATAGACTCAACTTCGACTCGCAACCGTCCCGCTTTTTTACCTCAAACTTTTGACACAAATGTAGCGCGTGCGACTTCAATTAGCTTCTAATCAAACCGAAAGCGAGCCGCTCGCGCGGAAGGTTTTTGTAAGTTTTGACATTTTCTTCGGGGTTGGGGGGGGGGGGGGGGTTGTTCCCGAAGTTAGCCTAATTACAACCGTGACAAGGAAAGCAACACACATGGCCAAACAGTCGTGGGTTATTGTGAAGCGTGAATTAAACGTGTGTTTTGTTGGGACAAATTCCGCTTTATCGACTTTTGATATCGCGCCAGCACATGGCAGCACCGACCCCCCCCCCCCCTGTCACGTCTGGGAAGGAAACAATAGACTGCACGGGTTGATTTGGGGGAAAACGCTTTGTACGCTGCCTCTGGGTATATAAACTCGTTTTCTTACCCCGAACGCGTTCCACTTACCCTTTTTCGTCTTCATTTCCTCCCGCGGGTGCCCACTTTTTCCTCGTCAGGCGCAGAAGAAAACGGTCTTTGTGTCAGCGCGGCGTCTCTCCTCTTTTCTCCAGAAATCCCCGGCGTGTATCCGAATATCCCCAAATCCTTATTCATCAAAACTCGCTTCTTCGCCTTTCCAAAAAAAAAAAAAAAAAAAAAAAGGTTTTTTTTTTTTTTGGCTTCTCCTGCTCGTCCTTGTTTGGAGACGGAATGGGGGGGCCGGGAGTCGTGGAGGGGAGGGTGGGTGGGGGGGGGTTACCTGAGATCTCTGCGTCCCTTCGGCTCGAAGCCCCTTTTCTCATTGACTGTGTGTTTGATCCTGGAGCTGGCTGACAGCTATCTTTGACAGCTGCGTGACTCAACGCACGGAGATCCTCCCACCGCGCGGGGGGAACAGCTCTGACATCAGCATGGCTTGTTCCACTGACATGGATACAGTGTAGCTAAGCCGTTATTGCTGCAGACAGCCCCCACCACCACCCCCACCCTCACAGAGCCGGACCAAACACCAACACCGTGTGTACTATATTATGAACCACAGAAGGGCGTCGATTTAGGCGCGCAGACGGAATGACGACAATAACAATAACAACAACAACAACAACAACAAGGCCGGCTGCCCGAGAGCACTGCGGACCTCGTGGTGACACACAAATAACGAGCGCGATGGGATATTGCGCACATTAAGAGACAAAGCCGATGCTTTTCTTTTTTTGTGTGTGTGATTATAGTGACGTGTGTTTTTTCTGCTATTCGCTGTTGCCATCTGTGGTTTTCATTTCCCTTTTTTTCCCCCCCTCTGATGTAACTTATTGCACCGCGCTCCCTTTGTATGCGCGAGCGTGAAATCTCGATCGTATCACCGTAATATCGCGCATAACAACACGTGACCCACATCGTGCCGCGTCGCCTGCAATGTCGTCATTCGGTTGTATATTCCCTTCGCGACAGAATCTTTTTTTCCGCTCATTTTTTGTTCATTTCCTCTTTTTTTCTTTTTTTTTAAAGGTTCACATGATCTAAAAGGGCTGTCGTTCTTATTTCTCGCGGGAACGAGAAGTGTAAAAACCGTGCAGGCCTGTGTTATAAGGCGGCTGTTGGGCCGTTTCCTTGTGCCAGCTGCTGGTCTGCGCACCAGTTCAGGGCTTCTAAAGACAACATCACGGAGAGGGAAACCACCGCGGCGCTCATTTGTATGCCGCGCACGACCACGTGGCCTCTTCGCGTGCGTTTGTTCCACAGGGGCGTTCTGATTGAGATCCTGCGCTGCCCCCTGGTGGTCGCTCTGCTGCCGTGCGACTCAACCCGGCGTTTGGTGAGAAGTGCAGCTGGTTTGGAACAACAACAACAAAATACATTATTTAGTTTTGATCAATTGATAATAAATCTTGGTTAAATTGTACAATTTTCATCACCCAAACGCCCAATTTGGTAAGTCTCATTATGTTTGACAAAGTCGATCAGAATTCACGTGCCAACCCACCTTAATCATGCATGTTTATTGTACATCCTTAATTATACGGTGCGTTTTTTAAATAACTCTGCTGAGTAATTTCTATATCAGGCACAAAGCACATTGGGATTTGGTTTCAACTGGACAAGCTGAAACAGTCAGTGTGTAAAATTAGAGACATGAGCAGGTGAGGCCTGCCCCCCCCCCCCCCCTCCCTCCCCCTCCACGCACACACTCAGTCAGCCCCTTCCATTATACAATACTATGCGTCACACCCTTCAATTGAAGCAGTTATTATTATCACAAGTATCACAAACCCAAATGTAATAAGGCAAAAGCTCAAAAACATAATTGTAGGCCTTGACAAAGTGCAATTTCTTTTTAGCATTTGTTCAAGGCCTTTTCACGTAAATAAACCCAGATGGGTCATTTTTCATCTTGACTTTTACGGTGCCATGTCTTTTCTTTCGAGTCACAGTACTCTCTCTTTAGGTGTAATTTTTCAAAGGGTAAGTATTAGTCAGAAACGGGGTAATTGCCCACTCTGACATTCCCACTATTCACCCATAGCACATACACATCTAATCCTTAACATCTATCGACTGACGCGCTGCTTCAGTTAGAGCCTGTAAGTGGAGAGCTGCGTCAAGCTGCATACCAACGCGATGAACCAGCAGACCGGCCGACATGCCTTCAAAATAACGTCTCCATCAACTCATTCTCGTACCAGTCGTCATCTATGTAGACTTTTTAATCCTTTAACAATGGTCGTACCTGCACAGTACCAAAGTGTGATTGGAAAATACTAATTATTTTGAAAACATGAGAAGTTAGTTAGTTTTACAAAACCTCATGATAAGTTATCAAACCTTCACAATCAAGATTTGGAATTTTGTTGTCACGAGAAGAGAAACATTTTCTCCTGTTTAGCACATTTCACTTAGTAATGGGTAATAGCATAACAACAAAAAAGATATTCTGAACAATTAAATGAGCAAGTAAAATTTACACAACTTTCTCAAAACTCTTTAAAGTGCTGATGAAAAGTAAATTCAAACCTGTGGATTTGGTTTTGTCTCAATTCTTCTTCTAATCCAATTGGTGGCACAGTGTTGATGTTGATGTGCTCCTTAAGATATACTTAAGGGAGTGAGCACAAACATGTCTTTTGTGTGGTATATTTTCCCAAATAATATCATTTTCTTTTCATTTGTTAGATTTTTTAATCTTGAGGTTTTTGTGTTGATCAATGGCTTATTAAAACATATAAAAACCTCCAAGGGAGCCCATTTATATTTTTATAAAATCTAATGAATACCATGTAGGGGTTGTGCCATGCTAAAAGAAAAGATTAAGCTATTGGTCGACGGACATTTTATTTTGAAAGCATGTGAAGGGGAACACGCATCGGGTTCTTTCTGTTCGACTTCACATTGTTAAAGCGCAGTGTGTTACACTTTTTTTTTTTTTTTTTTAAGTCTAAAATTAGGGAGGCATCCCGACAGCGAGTGACGCAGGCCTTCTAAAGCGGACCGTCGACTCGTCTCCGTGTGTCGATGGCATCCGGAATCAGGACCATGGAAACGATCCCTACAACTTGCCTGTTTGTTGACGACATGCGTGTATTTTTAGACCTTGTTGTCACCTCTCCGTGACAGCCCGGCTGCGACGTTCAGTATAAAGGGGCTCCTTCGAAAATGCAGCTGTACAACAGTGCGCTGACACACTACCCGAGGTCGTCTCGCAAAGTTACGATAACTTTATTGACCGGATCGGCGCCGACCTCCTCCGACGCTCGCGATCCGACCCTTGCGCCACCGCGCGCAGCCTCCGACGGGAATCCGGTGCGGGAGACTTCTTCCTCTTCCTCTTCTTCTTCTTCTTCTTCTGCAAACATGCCTGCCTTTTCGTGTTATAAAGCTTCGAGGCCGGTTTACTTCACGTCGACTGCGGAGATATTAATCCGCCGAGCTGATGGAGTGGAGAGCACTGTGCCCGTCCATATCGTGAGGGAGTCCAACGCCAAACCCCTCTCTCCTGATGTGGTGGTGGGCCTGATAGATCATCTCAGAAATGGCACAGATGATCTTTTTCCTGACTGTCCTCAGCTGGGCGGCCATCCCGGGTTCAACCGAAGCAGAGGCGAAGTGAGCATGAGGGTGGTTGGAAAGTCAAGTGAGGATTGCGGAGTCCCAGTGGCTGATGCCCCCTTGGGAAGCAATGGATGCGACTTATTGCACAAAGGGGAGACGGCTCCCTCCAGAGCGGATGCCCCACAACACCTAATAAAGGAAGTTCTTAGGGATCCCAACAGCGGCAAAGCTGCTTCAGCGTCGGCTGAGAGACGGGCCTTTGAGCTCAGCGTTCTGCAGGAATCTCCCCCGCAGAGATGCAAAGAGCGAGAGGACGTCAACAGCAAAGTCACCCGGTACCTGGCGGAAGTCGAGAAGCAGAACAAGTACCTCCAGGAGAGGCGCAAGTACAGGTACCACATCATTCCAGACGGCAACTGCCTGTACAGAGCCGTGTGCAAGGCCACGTGCGGGGACCAGGCCGGGCACAGGGAGCTGAGGGAGCAGACGGTGCACCACATCGCCGACCACCTGGAGGAGTTCAACGCCATCATCGAGGGGGACGTGGGAGAGTTCCTGATCAACGCGGCGCAGGACGGCGCCTGGGCGGGTTACCCCGAGCTCCACGCCATGAGCCAGATGCTGAGCGTCGACGTCCACCTGACGACGGGCGGGAGCTCGGAGAGCCCCACCGTCTCCACCATGGTGCACTATCTCGGGCAGGAGGACGCCTCCAAAGGGGCCGTGTGGCTGAGTTGGCTGAGCAACGGCCACTACGACGCGCTCCTGGACGAGTGTCTCCCCAACCCCGAGTACGAGGACTGGTGCAGCCGCTCGCAGATGCAGAGGCAGCGGGACGAGGAACTGGCCAAGTCGATGGCGGCCTCCTTGTCCAGAATGTACATTGAGCAAAATGGGTCTGCGTGAAATGAATGAATTAAAGGACGCGGACTCGCCCGGTAGAGTGCAGAGGCTCTCGTTCTGCTCAGTGTCTACATGATTTAAAACGTATTATTTTTTATAAGATTTATAGCTTCAGAGACAGTGCAGTGCACATACTTTGTTTTTTGTACATGCCACCGGTGCCAAATTAGTGGCAGTGGTTTCTGGAAGTGTTGGAAGGTGTGAGAGAGAGTTTTTGGCGGTTATGTTGACATGATTGGATTGACGTCTTGCTGATAAGTTGCTGTAATGAGGAAGTGCTTTGGAGTATTTATTTGCCTTTTTATTGGCAAACCTGTGTGTTTTTTTTTATGTTAGCGCTTCATGGAACATTGCCAATTACAGAAATGAACTTTGATCTGTTATTTGTCAAACAGCTGCTGTTAAATATCTGTAACGCTGCTCTCTTTTGCACAAAAGTCCCATCAGACAAATCCAGAGAGTTTGATTTGCATCTGTGAGAACAACTCAATGCTTCTTTTTCTGTTATTCCAGTTCTCTTCAGTCTTTTGACAAGATATTTCTAAATAAAATAATGAAGAAACTTGATGGTTTCATGTTTAATTTGCATGCTCATTACTTCCCTATTTGTCTCCTGCATGAATCACCGCGCTATTCGATATATAACGTTAATGTCAGCCGCGGTGTCTTGGTGGCAGAATTTGATGTTGCTTTAATGGGATCCATCTATTGCACTGCAGCGAACTGATGTGTGCAGTACTCGTCCGTCACCCCCTGCTGTCCTAAAGTAAAGAGTGATGTTTGGAGTCCATTACATGCAGTGACTCTGATTCAGATCCAGGCTGCAGTGCTTAGTGTATTAAGCCACGGCGATCCTAATACACAGATCCCAACCGACCCCAAACCGGGTCATCTTGCTCTTCTGAGTTTGTATCTCTGGTTGAAACGGACTTATTGTAAGTCGCTTTGGATAAAAGTGTCATCTAAATGACATGTATGTGTCCTGGGGGAGCTGGAGTCTGTCCGCCTGCTGTTTGATGCTCTGCAGGTATTGGATAGGGAAAGGAAAATGTCTATCCCTTATGTTGTAATATTAGCAACGTTTTCCTCTTTTGCATTTTGTTTTAGCCTTTTGCAAAATGATTCAGGTAAAACATCCTGTAAGAAAAAAAGACCTTATCTCTTATCAAAGTTGTAAAGTACCTTTTCCCACCTCTATGGAATTGTAATGTGCATTTGTTTGTTAGGAAATGAGCTCGAAAAATGAATAGGATTGGGAGAGTGAAACGAAAATCTCTTCGGAAACATGACGGATATTATGGAATAAAACCTACTTGAGAAGCCAGATGAATGCTGTGACCCGCAGGCCTACAATTCAGCACAATCGCCACTAGGTGGCGTTGTGGCCCACAAGAAACATTTAGATAAACCAATATGAAAGGAATTTGTGTCTACTTAAAATGATTGGGACCTGGTATTTGGACCTATGGCCTTAACAAAGCTTAAAAAAAAAGGAAATACAATGTTAAATATTGTGGTAAGTTAATGAGGGGAATTATCGATTTGGGGCGTTTGTGTTATTTGTCCAATTAATTAAATACAGAACACTGTGTCGCCTCCGAACCACAGAACTGTAAACCGCGTTTCCCTCCTGGTCTTCATCTCTTTCCATAAAACCATCAGTATTCAACCTCCTCCTTCAGCTCGATGATGGGTTCGTAATGGATATTTTCTCCACGAAAGCGATGACGTAACCCTGCAGTCATGTGGACATTAAGTTTTGAAAAAAAAAAAAAAAAAAAACATTTTTTAATGCAGGAGGTGATTTGTCCCGGTTCCTTCCCCCGTTGCGGTCCACAGCGGGTCGGGCTGCACAGCGCTGGGCCGGCGAGAGGCGGGCCGAGCCGAGCCGCAGTACTGGCACGCGGTCAGCGCGCACACACGCTGCCGGGACCCCCCCCCCCCCTCCCCTTCCCCTCGTGCCCCCCCCCGCCCCTTCCAGACTCCAGTGGAAGTGCGCTGTGCACGCGGTTCACACCTTCGACGCAGTTCTCGTGCTCGGAAGTTGCCGGACACTTGGAAAACTAAACCCGGAGACCGGAGGACGCGGTCGGCGGTCGCGCGGCTCTGACCCGGGAGCTGTGGCCGGTGACGATGTCGGGACACCGGGTGCAGTTCGCGGACCTTCCTCCGAGTGAGATGAAAGGAAGTCCCAAATGCCACAGTAAGTGACTATTGATCAGCGCTGACCTTGGTTTCACCTCTAAGGATGATCTGGGAAACTTGTAAAGCTTATTTTCAGAGGTTCCCTCTTTAGCCGTCAATCATTTCAAAGTGACTTCACATTCAGCACTGGTGGTTGTGTTACTACAGTATGTTATTTTCATTTTAGACCTCATGTAAGTGTAATTATTCACCACACTCGAGCTGCCTTGAAGAAGACGGTTGTGTTCAATAGATGTTTTATAACTGCCATTGTTGCCAAATTTTTCATTAATTTCCATCAAAGGGAAATTGTAAAAGATTCGATTTCCTCCAATTTTCCGTAAAAAGTTATTTTGCTCTCATGTCTTTGAGGAAATGTAATTCTGCTCCCCATGCGTGACCGGTTTGTGGAGACTGTGCGATGACCCCTCACCCACATCTTCACAGTGGTCTCATCCCATTCAGTCCCCTTATCTGAGGTGTCAGTTGCCCTTTTACGGGCTGCTGCTAACTTTTAAATCCTCAGGGAGTGTAACACCCCCCTCATGCTCTGTCTCAGTAAGGTGGCGCTCACCTTGAGGGTGCATTTAGTGACCACTTCGCGGCCTCCCAGGCAAGTACGACGCGTATAACAGTGGGCGTTATAACGCACTCGGGGCGTTTTCGCCTTTTTTTTTAAAGCACAAGATGTGTCTTTTCTGAAGATGTCATTGCATGTGAGGCGCGACAGAGTCAGCGGTGCCTGCCTCTGCTGCAGCGTTTGCACTACAGCGCGAGACACTGAGAAGCTGAGCTCATCTCCATGGTGACAGGTTGAGTGACGGGAGACGTGAACAAGGACGCGATGGGAAATTGCCCGTTTGCTGCAAAGCCCTGCAGAGGAGCATACCTAGCGTTCCATGAAGGCACATGTACAAGATCCTGGAAGTACATTATATATATATATATATATATATATATATATATATATATATATATATAATGGAAGATGTTTTATCAGTCTGATTTTCCTTTTTGTGTGTGTGTGTGTGTGTGTGTGTGTTATGCCAATGTCAGCCACTGACACGCATGTGAGCAGCAGGGCGAAAAGTGCTGATGGTGTGTGCAGGTCAGGCCTACGCTGTGCGCACGGGAGCACAGGACGGACGCCTCGGCAGCAGACAACACTTTCTCACTGAGACGTGACGTCCGGATGCGGGTGACAGTTGGGCCCCGATTTCAGCCTCTTCTCTGTCCCTCAGATCCAAAATCCTTCATTTTCAATCAAGAGACACGAGACACGCATGGGCGCATGGAGCTCTCTGACAGCTCATCGTGGTTTAATCCTAGATGCAGATGTGAGCTGCTGGTTCTGATGAGGCTCTGCTGATGGTTCCGTTTCATTTACTTCAGTGAAAGCAGTACGGAGCGACATCTGTGTTTTGGACCGTTTGGCCGTTGTTGTGTCTCCCGTCTCACGCCGGTGAAAGTACTGCAACATCTTTTTCTCAGGGTTATTGATAACGTTGGCATTCGACACCAGGCTAGACTTTGTGGTACGTTGGGCCGTGGCGGCTCTGTGCTCAGGCCCGTCTTCCAGCTGTCGCTACGTGGACGTTCTAACCCATCCGTGAAAGGGGGGGGGGGGATCCGTCTCCTAACGGTCTGTTCGTTGCAGACTCTCCGCCTGTGGGGGCTGCACATTTAATGAGTTACCGTCGTGCGTCTTTCAGTGGGCTGCTTTACGTCCCAGACAGCTGCACGCTGATGTTTATCATCTCCGGTTCCCAGCGATAGATATGCGAAGACTATGTCAACAGTTTCTGGTTGGAGGAGGATGCGCGGCGTGGATTGGACGGCCGAACGCTGAGGTGGACTCCCGCTTTCCCGTCCGCCTGGTATCAATTCTCGCGAAGAAAGGGTGGAGCGCTTCAACTTTCGACTCTTATGTCTCTCCGCCCCAAAGGTTCTGTTCATTCCGTTTGGTTGCATTAAGTCGTTTTCTGTAGATACTTCACTTATTGCACTTAATGTGAGCTTCTTATTGACCTCGGGTGACGTTCCTGTCGCCGTGGATGAGGTGGGAAGTGCCGTGGTGGGTCCGCCGGGCCGTCTGTCCCGTTGAAGACGCTGATCCTCCTGGAAATAGTCAGGCCCCCCCGAGAGACTAAACAGCTGTTTGACTGCGGACTAAAAGCCCGTCCCTTAAGGGTTAGAGATTTAAGGGAAGGCTGCGGCCTTCTCTGCCCAAAAGTAACACGCTGCTCCTGCTGCTGTTGTTGTAGCTCCACACTCCGATAAAAGGCACAACCTTGAGTCGCTATCCGCTTTGTTTTTTGTTATTAAAATACTGAACATGTTTTCAGACGGGAGACTTTTTGAATCACACAGCCCGTCTTCTTGGGGTCGGGTTGTTATTCTGATATTTGTTGGTATTTTCACTGTTATTCTGATCTTTTACACACATATATATATCACATAGATTTACAGTAATAGAGTAACATACTGCAGAGTAGATGGTATCTACTCCTGGTTGAGGCATCATCTCTGTCTCACTGAATAGCTATGCGTCATGAAACCTTGCACGCCTAATGAATTATCCACACTCTCCTGACTTCTCTCGTCTGTTTAGCAGCGGGATGACCGTCCCATGTGGGAAGGAACCAGATGTTTTCCTCCTCCTCTTCTTCTTCTTCTATTTTCATAATTTTTGCTAATTCATTCCCTCTCCACGAGTCCCTTCCCGGAGAAGATGGGGTGATCTATCTATAGTGTTCTCCAAACTGCAGTAGAACTAAAGTAGCGCGTGATTTTACAACCTCTTGATGATAATAAAGCTCTCGTGACACACACACACACACACACACACACAGACACACACACACACACACACACACACACACAGAGGCCCCTCAACACGAGGGCCTCAAAGCCTGCGATTGGCTGCTGTCCGTAGCCATCTTGAATCTGGAAGGACCGAAAGCTTGATAACGCGCGCGCGGGAATCCTCCCCCCCCCCCCCAGTTAAAAGGACGACTCCCAAAGGGGGGCCGCAGCTCTCCGCGCAGTTGTCGCTCACCCGCCCCGAGCTGTGGTCCTGAAACGTCTGCGTTTCTTTATTTTGTGATTTAAAGAGCGCCTGGCTGTGTTTCTGTGCTGTAGGGACACAGGGCGCAGTGAGGTTCTCTGCATGCTCTCCTCGAGCAGTAATGATGCGTGATGCCGGCCCCTTTTTTTAACGAAACGCCACCGCGAACCCGAAAATTGGCTTGGACGCATGATGAGTTAGAAGTCAAGTAGCTTCTCCTTTGATGTTGCGACGAGGTCACGGTCAAAGGGAAACATAATGGATACGAATGGGAGAGAATGAGGTGGTCTTTGTGTGAGCGAGCTTGTGCGCTG